GTGTATACGTGCATATATATCCGTACGTACGTGTATACGTGCATATATATCCGTACGTACGTGTATACGTGCATATATATATCCGTACGTACGTGTATACGTGCAGCATATATATCCGTACGTACGTGTATACGTGCATATATATCCGTACGTACGTGTATACGTGCAGCATATATATCCGTACGTACGTGTATACGTGCATATATATCCGTACGTACGTGTATGCGTGCAGCATATATATCCGTACGTACGTGTATACGTGCATATATATATCCGTACGTACGTGTATGCGTGCAGCATATATATCCGTACGTACGTGTATACGTGCATATAGCCAGGCTTGCAGGAGCGACAGTTAAAAAACAGAAGCACTTACATAACGTCTGCCCCGGAGCATCCAGCGACCCAACCACTGCGGGGGTTTTCACGTGTTTACCACGAGTTAAATACCAAGGATGCGCACTGTTGTTGTTGTTGTCTGTGTAAAGCAATACCCGAGCATGGGGGTAATAGCAGCGTGCGTGGATGCATGCAGCGGCAAGCGTCGCCCGCATAGTGTTTTAAAACCGGTAATAAACGAGGAAAAATGCGGTTTAGCATCCATGGTAATAAACGCAAACCACACGAGTATAGGCCTTCTTCTACTGTGGAGGGGAAGCACGGCCACATACATATACACGCACGCACGCACGCACGCACGCACGCACGCACGCACGCACGCACGCACGCACGCACGCACACACTACGCACGCACGCACGCACGTACGCACAAACACGCGCGCACATACACACGCACACACAGGCGCGCACACATTATTATGTTGACGCACAGGAACTACTATGAGCGGACTACCGCATGTTTGCATAAATCTAGCGGGATAGCGCCTAGGGCTGTACATGAGCTACAGTGTACAAACAAAATAGAACCAGCGGCCCGTTGTCAGAAACTAAATTAGCCATAAAATTAGTCTTGGCATCAACTTTTTCTCATAGACCGTTGACAGAAACATGGTTAAGTTGTCGCAGGCGCGTTTCTAATACGCAGGGTTCAGAAAACTAAGACTAATATTTCACAAATGTTAAGATGTAAACTTTTGTTTCTGACAACGGGCACTCGGGTTTACCCCCAAAAAACAGCCCCCACCCCACCCACCACACTGGAATGCTCGCTACAAAACACGCTTCCATCACATTCTACAGCATCCAGCATTCTCTCCTCTTTACAACCTCCTCTCCTCATCCTATAGTAGCCACCATTCTCTCCACATCCTATAGCATCCATCATTCTCTCCTCTCCTCATCCTACAGCATCCGCTATTCTCTCCTCTTCACATCCGACAGCATCCAGCATTCTGTACTTTCTGTAACTGTGTACTGACTAATCCATGGCTATGAGGTCTGTTAGTCTCTGGCTATACGGTAACTGTGGCCAGACGTGACGTCACACGCAGCTGTAGAGGACAGCTTACTAAAATGCTCAGAGCTTCATTATCAGGCATTTACTGTCAGAGAGCTGACCACACGTTCTCACGCGCGCTCTCTCTCTCTCTCTCTCTCTCTCTCTCTCTCTCTCTCTCTCTCTCTCT